AAGGGTCCTGGAACACATCCTAGGACCCTTTAGAGACTCACCCTCCCCCCGGGGGTCATAGGGGGCGAAATCGCCACCTTCTGAGACTTGTGAGGCTTGGGAAGCTTCAGAAGAGTCCCAGAAGGTGGTGATTTTGCCCCCTCTGGCCTCCAGGGGGGCTGGGTGAGCCTGCAAAGGGTCCTAGGGTGTGTTCCATAAGACAGACCTCTCCATAAGGCTCACCAATTTTTAGGAGAAGAAAACAGATTATTTTTTTGCCTGTTTTCTTCTAAAAATTTGGTGCGTCTTATGGAGAGGTGCGTCTTATGGAGTGAAAAATACGGTATGTGACATATTTAAGGAGTGGTTTCAACCAGTTAAGAGTCCATGACTGAGCTGGGATTTGAACCCAGTTCTCAGTCTTAAATTTAATCATCTCTCCAGCCACTACACCATTTTTTTCTTATAATTTAGGAGAGGAATGCAAATCAGTAAACAGTTTTTTTGGTTAATATATGTGTGAATAAGGAAATGAACCAAATTGCAGAAAAAAATTCTCTAAATGTTAATAATAATAATCTTAGAACTGCAAGGGACCCTGTGGATCAACGGAGCACAACAGGGAATTGAACTCCCAACCTGGTTTAGGCAGCCAGATGCCTAAACCACTGAGCTATCTAGCAGTTGCTCTCAGTAGCTTTGATTTTCAAAAAGAGAACTTTTCCATTATGCAAGTGCAAATATTTTCAGGGCCACCAGAGGGCAGGTACCTAACTTTCCAAGAAAATTCTTTGAAATGGATTGTTTTTTTAATCTGCTGCACTGAGTTAAAAGGAGTTTTAAAACCAAAACCAAACTATTATAGCTTTGTGTTGTTTTTCTATATGATGAATAAATAATCTGTGTATGATTTTAAAATTTCGTATGAGTTCACAGCAGACAATGTGAGTGACAAAAGTTATTAATACTAGAATTTTAAAGATTGGGGGACGTGGTAGCGCTGTGGGTTAAACAGCAGAAGCCTTTGTGCTGCAAGGGCAGAAGACCAGCAGTCGTAAGATCGAATCCACATGACAGAGTGAGCTCCCATTGCTTGTCCCAGCTCCTGCCAACCTAGCAGTTCAAAAGCACGTAAAAATGCGAGCAGATAAATAGGTACCACCTCAGTGGGAAGGTAATGGCGTTCCGTGTCTAGTCGCACCATCCACGTGACCATGGAAATTGTCTTCGGACAAATGCTGGCTCTATGGTTTGGAAATGGGGATGAGCACCGTGCCCTAAAGTTGGACACAACTGGACTAAATGTCAAGGGGAATTTTTACCTTTTAAGGACTGAGCTGCAGAAGTCACATTTGCTGTATAGTTATAAGCTCTCCTTGGAAGTCACCACAAGATTCTGTTTTTAACTTTTCAATGATGTAGAGTTTGCTGAACACAAAAAAAGCACTTCACTTTCTTCTGGGATTTTCAGTGCAGTTCTAACCTCTTCCAAGTTTTTAAGGTATACTCTGAAGTGGTTTATCATTTCTGTTGGGTGGATTTTTGGGATTGTACAGCTTGCTCAAGGCTACACAGGTTGGCTCTTCTCGGAGACATAGTGTGAAATCAAACTCTCATCTGGTTCTGCAGCCATGTACCCAGTTCAAGGAGCTAGCAGATATTCTCAGGTAAGTGTGCATCATTTTTCAGCCAGAATCTTGCAAATCCTTGAGAGACCTTAACAAATATTTTTAATTACAGACAGCAATCCAGACATTGTCCCTCAACAACAGAGTTCAGCACTACCCTCCAGCAACAGCGATCCTGTTTTCATTTCTTTGTATTTGAGCTAGTAATTCTTCAGATAGCTACAGAGAAATGTTTGAACTGAATGTATGGCTGAAACACTGAGAAACTTGTTTTAAAAGCAGATTAGTAAAGTAATTATTACTGTGTCTTTCACATGCCAGCACATTATAATCAGCACCAGGATTTTACACTGCCTAGAAGAAAACAAATCAGAACTTTTCATAATATGTAGGCCCTAGTCTCTTAAGAAAGTCACCATAATTTCTCAAATCCATGCCTGTATGCTCCATCCCTCTCCCGATATTTGCCATTTGCATTAAAACAGCTAACAACTTGATGAAAATATTTGCTAATCAAGGGTATTGCTTTGAGAATGGAATATCATACATTGTCAAGGCAATTATTCTTTGCAGGTTCTCATGACATTGTTGAAAAGTTTTCTAGTGTCTGTTTTCAAAAACATGGAAGTCCTTAAGCTGTTCTACAATTTTATAGAGGTATGTTTGATTTGATTACCTAAACTTTAAGTGCTTCCTATTCTTTAATTAAAATTTTAAATTCTTCTTCCTTCTTCTGGTCTCTTGACTTCTGGGGGAAACACTGGTAGAACAATATTTCAATGCATTTGGTAGAGCAAGAATCATCATTGTGCTGTTTTGATATTCCATTTAGCACAGATACATGGTGTTATTTTAGCCTTTATTGAGGAAGCAACAAGATGAATAGTTTGAAAAATGTTACAAGCTGAAGTAGAATGTGAGAGGATCTGTTTTAATCCTGACTTTAGGTACTTTCTCTGGAGCTTCCACTATTGTATCTTAGAACCTGACTGTGGAGGTGGGAAAAGAAAATGTTGGAGGTGAATGTTCTTCTTGAGTTATAATCAGTTTATTTCTCCAAATACTGGAATCTAGGGCAGGCTTACTATTCATCTCTTCCATAAGGTACATCTTGGTTATTTTGGTAACATCTGCCTTGCATTTCAGTGGGGGAGATGTAGAGAAGTGCTCTTGCAAAGGACGTAGAACAAATCTGCATCTTAAGACCCTGTCCACGCCAGCATCAGGATATGGATTGCTTTGACACGTTTGGATTGATCCAAGCGACAGAGTCAATCTGCATTTCCACTTAGATAGATACATCCTTCTCCTTTAAGAGCTGTTGCTAACCTTTTTGACATATATTCTTTTTGGCATGCTTCAATGTGATCCTAATTAGTTCTCTGTTTAGCCTGTGCACATGTTACCTCGCACCAAAACGGTTCTGAGGGCAGCATTAATTGCAGTGACAACCCTGTGACATACAGTATTAGGTGGATTGCAAAATTAAAAGGAGGGGAAAGAAACCCCCTTCTCTATTTTTTTTTTAAATATATCTAACCAATGCAGTGAAATTCTAATGCATTGCCATTTTGATATGCCACTTACTTTATTTAACAGCAACAAAGGAAAGCCATCCCACTCCCCTGACTGATGGCCTTGAGAAAAGTTAGGGAAGGGGGCTATGTTGATTCCATGGGTTCTGACCCACAAGGAAGCAGCAAATCCCCAGCTGAGGAGAAAGGCCAGAAAAATGGTGAGTTACCTCCTTTCTGTCTGCCCAAGATTCATCCCAGTTTTTTTCCCCTTGAGTGGCAGCTGTTGCCTCCTTACTTGTGAGTAAACCAGGTAAATGATGCTCTGTGTGGACTTGTAATATGAGAGAAGAGAAACCATAGCACGAGCTCCAGTGTGGCCAAAAGGACAGTTCAAGTGAGAGTTGAAATAAATGTCACTTAAGGTAAAAACTTTTTAAAGCACAGACTGGACTGCACCAGATATTCCAGTGTGGACAAGTGCTTAGTACAGCCCCTCCAGGAAGGCCCTTGGGCAGCTCCACTGTTATTGTTTGTGCCCTTTCCTTCTGAGTTTCTTTTGATAGTGTGCATTGTCTCCTAATATACTTTTTAACGTCCCTCCTTGCCTTTCCATTGTTGTGGCTTTAGCTATGGTACTCCATCTTCTTTTGCAGTCCTGTGTCTGCTCTGTAAGTAAGATTTATTTATTTATTTATTTATTTAGTTAGTTAGTTAGTTAGTTAGTTAGTTAGTTAGTTAGTTAGTTAGTTAGTTAGTTAGTTAGTTAGTTAGTTAGTTAGTTAGTTAGTTAGTTAGTTAGTTAGTTAGTTAGTTAGTTAGTTAGTTAGTTAGTTAGTTAGTTAGTTAGTTAGTTAGTTAGTTAGTTAGTTAGTTAGTTAGTTAGTTAGTTAGTTAGTTAGTTAGTTAGTTAGTTAGTTAGTTAGTTAGTTAGTTAGTTAGTTAGTTAGTTAGTTAGTTAGTTAGTTAGTTAGTTAGTTAGTTAGTTAGTTAGTTAGTTAGTTAGTTAGTTAGTTAGTTAGTTAGTTAGTTAGTTAGTTAGTTAGTTAGTTAGTTAGTTAGTTAGTTAGTTAGTTAGTTAGTTAGTTAGTTAGTTAGTTAGTTAGTTAGTTAGTTAGTTAGTTAGTTAGTTAGTTAGTTAGTTAGTTAGTTAGTTAGTTAGTTAGTTAGTTAGTTAGTTAGTTAGTTAGTTAGTTAGTTAGTTAGTTAGTTAGTTAGTTAGTTAGTTAGTTAGTTAGTTAGTTAGTTAGTTAGTTAGTTAGTTAGTTAGTTAGTTAGTTAGTTAGTTAGTTAGTTAGTTAGTTAGTTAGTTAGTTAGTTAGTTAGTTAGTTAGTTAGTTAGTTAGTTAGTTAGTTAGTTAGTTAGTTAGTTAGTTAGTTAGTTAGTTAGTTAGTTAGTTAGTTAGTTAGTTAGTTAGTTAGTTAGTTAGTTAGTTAGTTAGTTAGTTAGTTAGTTAGTTAGTTAGTTAGTTAGTTAGTTAGTTAGTTAGTTAGTTAGTTAGTTAGTTAGTTAGTTTATACCCCGCCTATCTGGTCATTGCGACCACTCTAAGCGGCTTCCAGACAATATAAAAGAAAACATATGCAAATACCAAAAAAAAAGTAAAGTAAATCAATATAAGACAATAAACAACAAACGGTAGACAAATTCTTCAAGATGGAAAGTAACAGAGAAAAAGTGAAGAAGAAAGAAACCTAAGTATTGACTGGAGGGAAGGCCTGCTTAAACATCCAGGTTTTTAGTTGGGTCTTAAAAATGCCCAGCGACAGGGCCGTACAAATCTCTGGAGGGAGGTTATTCCAGAGGCGAGAGGCCACCTCCGAGAAGGCCCGATTTCTTGTTTTTTTTCCTTTCGGGCCTCCCTTGGCGTCAGGCCCCTCAGCCTCATCTCCTGACTCGATTGAGTGATATGGGTAGATAGTTAAACAGCACCTCCACTAACACATAGTGAAAGAGGGAGCAGTGTGACAGCAGAGGTGGTGGCTTTTCCAGGGCACCCTTTGGTTATATGTCAGAAAGTTCAAGGTTGCAAAAGGAGGAGAGTTGGGTGGCATTCCTTGGGAGGCAAAGAAAGAGCCAAGCAGTGGAAGCATGAGAGTTAAAAGCAAAGATTGGTTGGCAAGCATGATGTAAGAGTTCCCTGATCCAATACACCCACACAAATACATATTGCTTCTTGCCTTGCCACCTCCGTACATCAGCTTGCCTCTTGACAGATTGTTGCTTTGGGGGACTGTAGGAGCTGAAGGCTTTGAGTGACCATCACTAAAGCGGGGCTCACTAAATAATGGAAACTTCGGGGGCCCTTGAACTTAATGTAGAGTTTTACCCCGTTTTACATGAAGATCTCAAGAAATGTAAAAATTAAAAAGTAAATGCTACTTCCCTACCCAAAACAGTTTATGAAGAATTGATGGAAATCATGGGAAAACATGTGCAAGATGAAATTGTGAACCAAATTAACCATCTAGACACAAAAGTACTGCTCCATTGTTGATTGCATGACTGTCTTGACATGTAATTATATTTTGACAGTGTTATAATGAAAAACTGTGGGACATTTTTAACATTTTTTATCATTCATCCATGACTTTGTTAAACAAAATTCAAGACGTCTTGGGTGAACATATGCTTTCACTTGAAAATATCAATGGCCAATCTTGCGATACTTCATCTAGCATGAAGGGCTTGGAGAAAAGTCTGCCAGCACTCTTTTAAAACAACAGGCATGCAGGCTATGTATCATGTGCAACCAATTTGCTTAAACATGTTGGAGAAAAGGCAGTGTCTACTGTACCTGAAGTTATTGACTATTTTGGCATTTGCAGGAGGTGTATGTTCTCTGGATCTCTACAAAGATAGAGAATTTTAAACATACAGAACAATCTACACTTTTCTCTAAAGAGCCTAAGTTTAACTAGATAGTCCGCACACTACGTGTGAAGTGGTCTGGGCAATTAAAAATTGATATATGAGTATTTTACAGACTCAAACACATTTTGACAACTCAGAAGTCTGAACGTTAATGAGATGCAAATAATTTATACCATAAGTTTGGCAAAAGTGGAATATGCTGTTTTAACAGTCATTTGGGAAGAAGTGCTAGAGCGTTTCAAAAAAAAAAACTGCAGGCTCCTAGTTTTTGATGTATTTGAAGCTTATCTTCTACCATCATCTTTTTGTTTGTTAAAGAACTCAGACAAGATTCAGCTGATAGGATTGCATACTGTGAATCATACTCAGAAGGTTTGTGTGAAGATAACACCTCAAATTATTCTGATTCATCCAAATGCATTGTTAAAAGGAACATTTCAGATGGAACAAGTAGTGCTTCATTGAGAGGAGCTGACAAAATTAGGATAGACATTCTATATCAACTATGACTGCTTGATAAACAGTTATGCAAGAGGATTGACCCATTTGGGCAATTATGAAAAAGTTCAAATTCCTCCCAGAACTGGTGACGGTTCTGAAATTGATGAGGATAGTATTAAACTTATATTACAAAAATATTGACTACAAATTAGTAAACAAATGTTACCAGTTAAAAGAATATTTGCATCTTAGGAAATCCCAGAACACAGAAGAAAACACGTCATCTAAAATGCAACATGCAGATGTTCTTTAACTTAATTGTGACCAACACCTAATTGAAGTGTTCCCCGGTATTGCTGCTGTGCTCCGTCTGTACTTGATAGTGCTTAACATGAGCTGTGGAGCAGAAAGGAAGTTTTCAAGGTTATTCTTTATAAAGAACAAATTTCAGTCTATCATGACTGAAGAGCACTTAAGTTCTTTATGCATATTATCTCTAGAAAATGACATTGCAAGGAAGCTCTCGTATGACAAAATTGTACATAAGTTGTTTTTTGAAAAAAACCCAGAGTATTTCCTAAAATGTGCTTCATGTAGTATGTATTTTCATAGCTGCCTAAAACAAAAGATTATATTGATTGTGGTATTTTCTATGTTTTATTTCATCATTCTACGATGTATCATGCATGTATATAACATTTCCCAAATACTGATCTCCCCATAACTCAAGACACTATAAGGCACAGGAAATTTTCACTTACATTAATGACTTTGATGTGTGAGATAACCTGGTACAACAATTTTAGTCAAAACTGAGATGTAGTGGCAAAATTTTCGAAAAATTAGTGGTGATCTGTTGTGGAACAACCCCACTGAAGGAGATATCAGTGGTTACCCAGACCTCGTAACTAGTTGTGAAGCGCCCCCCATAACAGTTTAAGGATCAGTACCCGAAAAATGTACAGTAGATATGCCACTGATTCACTCACTTTATAAGCAGAACAAATCATGAACTATTTGACTATGTCATTGCACTCTTAGACTCATATTTCGAGCAAGATATTCCTCATCGTTCTCTGAGCTGAGAAGTCAGGGGAGGAGAAAAGAACAGAAAATAGAGCAGTTGTCTGCATCGTGCCTGAATCACAAGTGATAAATTTGGATAATGTCTTTGGTGAAGTGCCAATGGCTGCAGAAAAACGAAGTCATTTTTTGGTAGTGAAACAAGCATTATTTTAAAAAAGATCAATTTTAGTAATGCATTCTGTCCTTAGTAAAATGTAATCTCTCCATTAAAAAGGGATCATTAATCAATACTTGAGGGAAACTTGGGAGATCTCGGCTACAGTTAAAAATACCTAAACCAAAGTAGTGATTACAGACTAATGAGTAATGTTAAGAAAACCTTGTTTGTTTGTTTATTTAACTTATATGCTGCCCACACTACCCAAAGGTCTCTGGGCAGATTACAACAGTTAAAATACAGTAAAAAACATAAAACAATTATAATACAATTAAAATATATACTCTAAAAACTGCCATCAGGACCTACAGTTGATACTATTTCAGTTAAAAGCCTTCTGGAACAGGAAGGTTTTGACCTGGTGCCAAAATGTCATCAGCGTTGGCACCAGACAAATCTCAGTTGGGATGGCGTTCTGTAGTCTGGGGGCAGCTGCCGAGAAGGCCCTTGAGGTATGGCTTTTTCAAAAGGACCCCCTGGCTAGATCTCAGCTGCTGGGTAGGTTCATATGGAAGGAGGCAGTCCTTCAGGTATCCAGGGCCAAGCCGTTTAGGGCTTTATATGTTACTTTGAATTGGGCCCAGGCAGCAACTGGTAGTGTAATTTAAACGGAATCAGCTTGATGTGTCCTCTAGCGCCTCACCAGCCGTGCAGCTTGATTCTGGACCAGTTGCAGTCACCGGATCATTTTCAAAGGCAGCCCCACATAGAGCAGATTGTAGTAATCTATATGAGATGTTACCAGTGCATGTGTAACTGTCTTGAGACTCCGCTTGTCCAGGTAGGGCCATAGCTGGTATAATTTCCGCAGGTGAAGGAAGGCACCCCTGGCCACTGAGTCCACCTGGGTTTCCAGAGTTAGACTGGGGTCCAGGAGCACTCCCAGGCTGTGGACCCTGTCCCTTGGGGGGGGTGTAACCCCATTCAGGGCAGGGAAATGGCCCTCCAGCCTATCAGGCGAAGCACCCAGTAACAGCACTTCCGTCTTGTATGGATTGAGTTTCAATTTATTAACCCTCATCCAGTCCATTATGAGGTCCAGACATGCGTTCAGCACAGAAACTGCCTCACATGGATTGGTGGAAAATGAGAGGTCGAGCTGAGTATCATCAGCATATTGCTGACTCCTCAGCCCAAACCTCCTGACGACCTCTCCCAGCGGTTCCATGTAGATGTTAAACGCATGGGGGACAGTATCGAGCCCTGAGAAACTCCAAGACATAAACACCATGGGGCAGAGCAGCTGTCCCCCAGCACCACCCTCTGGACATGGTCAGCTAGGAAGAACGGAACCACCGTAAAGTGCTCCCAACTCCCAACCCAGCTAGCCTATCCAGAAGGACACCATGGTCAATGGTGTCGAAAGCTGCTGAGAAGTCCAGGAGTATAAACAGGGTCACACTCCCCCTGTCTCTCTCCTGGCAAAGGTCATATAGTACAGGGCGACCAAGGCCATCTCCATACCAAAACCCGGCCTGAAACCCAATTGAAATGGATCCAGAAAATCTGTTTCATCCAGCAGTGCCTGGAGTTGCCCAGCCACAACCCGCTCCAACACTTTGTCCAAATAAGGGAGGTTCGCCACTGGTCGGTAGTTAACCACCAGCCTTGGGTCCAGGTTAGGCTTTTTTAGGAGTGGCCAAATTACTGCCTTTTTTGAGATGATAAAGAACTGTGGGAAAGTTCGGTCGTTGTGTGTGTGTGTTTTTAAATTATTGTTTATGGGGTGATGCTCTTTCCCTCGTGAGAAATGGCAGTGAAAAAAAAAAGGAGCGAGCCAAGGCTGGTGAGGTTAGGAAATGCCACTCGAGCCCCTATTGTCTAAAGATGCTTTGCAACAAGCCACCTGCTGGGAGAAAAGGCTGACGGTGACATGGGCTTTCGTTTTTACGTCACTCTCCCACCAGCCTGCCAATTAGAAAGTTTCAGCCCTTGCAGTTATAGGGTTAGCAGGCCTTTTGTTTCTGTCCGCAACCTTTCCCACCCCTCCACTTCTTCCCAGCCTCCCTGTCAGTGTTGCCTACAATCTAGTACCTGCTTCAGTTCTCAGCAATAGATAGATACATACATTCAAAAATGCTTTGCCAGGCGCTGGACAGAGCTCTAGTCTGTGTGTCCAAAAAAAATTTCAGGCTGCATAATGGAAATTAGGAAAGGTTGCTGAGCGCACACGAACAGCGAGAATCAGTGCTGGGTCATTTGCAGAGCTGGCAAGGATTTCTGTCTCGCCCTACAGGTCACTGAGCAAATTTGTTTTGTGTCCATGCATCAAAGCTTCCAGCCTGAGTGAGAAACAGCAAAAATAAAAGAAAGGAGGTGAAGGTAGAGATGGGAGGGCTAGGAGACACTGGCCATGAAACAAGAACGTCTAAGCTTCAGATGCTCACATTCTTGATTTTTAAGTAGTTTATGTGGAATCGAACTTGCATGCAAGAGTGAAAAAACATGCACTCGCACGCATGTGCAAACTGTTGCAGCGCTCACACAGGCATTTGTTCACATATGCACACGGGGGCAGGGGGTGCCTTGCCTTCCCCAGCCAGTCCGCGGACCGAAAAAGGTTGGGGACCACTGCCCCAGAGCATTCAGGAAACCATTAGGATCCATTAGTCTCCGAGGGGGAACATCTTAATAGATCCCCCACCCCTGCAGAGGGGAGAAGAAGCTAATAGACTAAACTTGGCCAGGAAGTGGTCTGACCATACAAATGGGGTCACAACCAGCCCCTCCACATCCAAACCACCATCTTCCAGTCCCCTTGAGAAAACCAGGTCCAAGAGCCGATGACACATTGAGACAGCCCCATGATTGTCATGGCAGCCATGAAGTCCTGAGCCACCCCAGTCAAGGCAGCGGCATGAATGCTGAGGTCCCCCAGCTCCAACAGCCCGAGAGTCCTCAACACCAGGTCTGAGACGACTTCTGTCAGCTCAGGCAGGGAGAATGTTGGTATGCAATAGGGTGGGCAGTACACCAACAGAATCCCAATTTGTCTTGTAAGCCCAACACACAATACAGCCCCTCAAGACCTCCTCTCAAAGGGATAGAAAGCCTGGTCAAAGAGATAGAACTCCTATAGACTATAGCAGCTCCCCCTCCCCGACCCTCTGAGCAACATTGGTGCTGGACCAAGTACCCAGGGGGACACAGCTGGGAGACGGGAACACCACCCTCCTCTCCCACCCAGGTCTCTGTAATGCACACCAGGTCAGCACCCTCATCCAGAATTACATCATGGATGAGGGCAGTCTTATTTTGTACTGGGGTTTATTAACAGCACCGTGTGGCTCAAGGGTTTGCTGATATGGTCACCTGATACCATCTGGTTGGGGATAGGACTAGAAGAGGGGATAGATGTAAGGTATCTAACCTTTCTTCTCCTACGTGGGCATGTTCTACCCCCACCGCCATGATGGAGACTTCCCCAAAGGCAGGAATGTTGGTCTGGCAGGACCCTGGCAGAGGTTCTGGCTTATAAAGCCCCTTCTCCCCCTGAGCCAGGTGGCTGATGTTGAGGAGGGGATGGGGCAGCCAGAGGCAGCAAGGGCCCAGTCCTGCAAGGCCAAGGGAGTCCAAGCCAAAGTCCCCCAGGAAGGCTGGAAACTGGCAGCAGCACAGCCACACTGTCTCTCACTCAGTGCCTGAGGGACGGCAGATGATGAAGACTCCCCCGAAGGCAGGAACGTTAGTTCAGCCAAGTTCACAATAATCGGTAAAAAGCCAACAAACTAGAAATGCAGTTAAAGATTCAAAATGAAAGAGTGGGACAGATTGCAGCAGCTAGTACAGTAATTCAGAGTAAAAATAAGTGGAAGAAGTAGTAAAGGAAAGGGAAGTCATTTGTTGAAGAACCTGAAAGATTGCTTTAGTTACAACAGGGTATAATTGTTAGACTGCTGCATCCGAAATCAAAACTGTATTGATTATATCAGTCTATGGTAGAAGAACAAACACAAAAAGAGACTGTGTCTCCTAAGTTTTGGTCTTTAGATTTATTCCACACATGACAAGGATAGTTTCTAAAAAGTATCCTGTGAAATACAACTGAAATTCATTTCAGCTAGATTATTTAAAACCAAAAAGCCAACTGGCTTCAGTATTCTTCTAACTAACTGTACAAAAGATTAATTTTTGCAAAGATAATTCAAGAAGTTTTGTGAGGCACAGGAATTGTAGAAAAAAACTTTTCAGAGTCTAAAACCCAATGTAGGTTATAAAATGGGTGCAGAAGTCCCTTGTCTCCCTAGACTCAACCTTAAGTGTGAGTGGGTAACCTAGAACTATTTAGTCTTTCAGCCCCCTGGACCTTCCACAATATCTCTTGCAACTGGTTTGTTTTCACCTATTTTCCTTTTGTTATAAGGGAACCTGTACTTGGGAAGGCTCTGGGTCTGTGTTGTGGCACTAGGACAGATAGCTGGTACACTGTCCCCCCCCCCTTTTAAAAAATTGTATTTTTTAATTTTTTTTGCTTTCCTTCAAAACTTAAAACTACGCTTGTTTTTGGAACTCTCCTATCTTAGTAAGACATTTGTTGTGACCATATAAGTGTCCCAAATGCTTCTGGTCATCTTGAAAGTGGAGTGTTCCAGAGTACCTTGGACTGCCTAATTTTGCTTGTCAGCTGTGTCTGTATTGAAAGGAAAAAGGTGAGAATATTTCCATATGGCGATGTTGATATTTTCTACTTCTCCTTTTAAATTGCCATAGAGACAACTTGATTAGCTGGGGATATAGCCACCTAGAGTGGTCGAAATGACCAGATAGGTGGGGTATAAATAGAATAAATAAATAAATATGACAGTATTAGAAAACCCTGAAATGATGGACATAATTTCTTAGAGTATTATGCAAGACCAGTCCCGTGCCTCCATAAAAAGATAATATCTGAAAGCTGCAATAGAGCTGTAATAAATACAAATGCATTTGTACCTGTAAAATTCCTTTTGATCGTGAAATACAAATAGTATCTATTTGTGGACTTACTGGATTGGTTACAAATTTCCTAGTTTTAAATAGGCTGCTATAGCTATATTAGCCCATAAGCATGAATGAGCAGGAATTGTCTCATTTTAATTTTCACAAATCAATATGTATTTCCATTTTGGCTATAAGCCAGTATCTTATTTTCACATGTGATTGCATAATAGCAGTCATGTTGGCATTAAGCCCACCGCTCGCTCTCCTTTGAGTACTTTTTGTGAAATTGGGCACACAAGCAGTCATGTGAAGGGGAACCTGAGGAGAGCAAAAACTGCAGTATGACTGGCCCTTCCATGTAGTTTTTTTTTCAGTTGGATTCTGGCCTCAGTTATTAGTTTTCCTTCCTTCCCACCCCCTACCCCTGTAAGAAGTAATTACATTTCCAAATACCAGTTTTTATTAAGGTCCCATCACTGGACATTCTCTTGCAGGATGAGCTCACTACCTTTGCAACACTGTGCTGGTCGGTGAACTAATTTGACCTATCTCCCAAGCTTAGGCAAGGGACTAAGCTGGAACTGTAGAGGGAATCTTAATTGCATTAACCAGGTTGGCAGCTGTCCTCATTATGATCTCAGAGAGTTATTCAAGGTGAATGCAGTACTGTAGTTGGTACCCAAGGAGCTGAATGCTGCAGGCAAGGATGGTGTCTGAAGCCTTGTAAATTACTCCTAGTAAAAAGTTTTGCTGCTGCTTATGATTTGTCAGCATAGAGATGGGGTGGGGAGTAATATTGAAAGAATTCCTTGTGAGTAGCTACAGGAAGTTGCGTTGTGAGCAAAAATTGCATGGGGTTGACTAGCTGTAACTTCTTGGGCACCTTTGCTGTGTCCAAATGCTGCAACATTGCAGGTACATGCCCCTCCCCCTGGTCAATGCTGCATTCTCTCAAATAAGTAAAGTGCTGGCCCCTGTCCTGTCCTGACACAATATGGAATTAGTGACCATAAATATTGTTTGTGACTAGCCTTAGAGCTTGTATTTATTGCACAAGTATGCACTGTGCCTTTGCTGAGGAAAGATAAATGGATAGAGTGGGGATGTTGGGGGAGTTATTCTATATGTTTAATTCCACCAGTTCTGAAATACTATAAAACAACATATGTTCTTTAGATCTCTGAGATTCTTGAAAATATGCACTGTCTCTTTCTGGGTGCTTAAAATATTTGATAGTTCAGGAGCACTTTTTATGTGCAGTCAAGTTGGAAGTGACTTATACCAACCCTAATAGGGCATTCAAGGTAAATGAGATATTTAAGGAATGGTTTTTCAGTTCCATATCCCCCAGTAAGTTTCAATGGTTGAGTGGGGATTTGAATCCAAGCCTTCTTAGTCCTAATCAGTCTGTCCACTACACCACACTGGGTACCCCTAGGAACACTTAGTGCTATCAGAAGACTTGCAGGCTTTGAAAGAATGGAAAACAGCTCGGTGATGATGAGTTAAACTCATGGTTCCTTGAACTGAAACCCAGCACCATAGTCTTGCTTATCATGTTTTAGGTGTCATGCAACCTTGTATGCCTTTGATGATGTGGAGTCCCTCCCATTCCTATCTCAATGTCTTGAACGGGTTAGTCTGTGGGATGCCAGTCCCTCGACAGATTAGTTAACCATGAAATTGTCCAATGCTGCAAAACACAGATGTTTGCTGTAACTGTTTATCCTTACCACATTTGAAAGAATCTAGGAATGAAGGTGCAGTCTTTGGGCCAATTGGGTGTCCTAAAATCATCTTCTGCACTTGCTTACTTGCTGTAATAAGTCATTATCAGCATGAAAAATGGGAAGAGAGAATAACACCATATGGCTGAAACAGAAGCAAAATAGTTGCCATGGTAGATGAAGCAAATATAATTCCAAGGAGGGAGGACTATTTTGTGAACATATAAATAGAAACAAGGCAGTTGGAAGAGGGAAAAAAAGTTCCTACAGCCCAGAACATCCAGACTTTAGGCCTGTGTTTTAACAAGTTTTCCTAATATTGTTTAACAGGCTTTTCCTAGTCAACACAGTCTTGGTTGATTATTAAAAGATATTAAATTGTTGTGCACTTTTTTCCTTCCATGTGACAAGAGCATCTGGCTGTCATTCTGCTACTAATATTTGAGGCTGTATGTAACTGTAGTGTAGATACACTGTTAAGAGATGCTCAGTACACTATTTTGTCACAGACTCTTTCCCTTTGTTCCCTTATCCTTTTTTCATTTAGCAGTTCAATCTAGAAAAGGAGGGGTATTATTAACTGTAGAAAGTGCGAGGGATCTGCTGCAAAATACGATCTATTCTGCCCTTAATAAGACAATTCAAAGTCACACCTCTGAAACATCAATATGGCAACTGGGGAAGGCATAATAAAGGAGGCCTTCCCGGAACCTTAGCCCACTCTGAGCACACCTTGCTGCCGCATTTCGCTGTGCGCGCATGGCAACACCTGTTTCCCTCGAAAGCATGGTGTCGCCTCACAACATGGGCTTTCTCAGCTCGGCAGGCTTGCAAAAACTGGCTGCTGCTGTAAGGAGGCGGCACTCCTCCCTCTACCTTACTATGTGGGACCTCCTTGCTGTCTAGTCCATTGAATAATTTTGAACACAACTGTATGTGGGACCTCCTTGCTGTCTAGTCCACATGAATTTAAGGCGACTCAGTAGCCGGCTGTCAGCAAAATGGCGAGGTGGTGCAGGCATTAACTTATGTGCAAATCTGGGAAAAAGTTACTCCGGAGAGCTCCAGTTGTTTAGAATGTTGGCTGTGGGATTCTCATACCTTAGATTCCCACTGTTGTGCAGTGCATAGAGTGGCTAGGACTCTGGAGAACAGGGTTCAAATCCCCCGCTCAGTCACGGAAACTCACCGGGGGGAGTGGAACTGGTAACACCACTCCTTAAATAGCTTACTTACCTTGAAAGCTGTATTAGGGTCGCTGTAAATTAGTTCAACTTGACGGCACTGAACACAGGCACAGAATAATGATAAAGGTAATGTTTGCAAGATAGGGTTCTTCTTTGTGGCCTCTATGAATCACACTGTGGGTGATCCGCGCCTGCGCGGAGCCTCTTTGGAATATTCTAGAGATTCTGCGGTAGCAAAACCACATTAGAATAGACCCTTCCCCCTTGGTATAAGTACCTTGGCACCAGGACTTTCGACGTCAACAAATGTCCATGGACATGGCACACTCTTCAGTGGCAGACCACCGTCAACATTACTATGACCAACATCCTCTCGATGCTGAGGTCAATCAATGTTCTATTGACTCCAGGCTCGATCCTGAGGTCTCAGAACATGGTTCTCGACCACAAACTCCATCTGTGTTTCTCACATCACCAGATTCCGATCTCACAGATGTAGATCCTCCATCCCCAGCAGAGGATTTCCAAACTTACACTCAACTCATGATCCACATGGCTAAGTAATTGGATCTTCAAATGCATCGCCCCACAACTGAACCGGCCGATCACCTTTATGATCCTATTTCTAAGGACACAACTACCCCAGTCCATACTTCCATGCTACCATCTCTTCTTAGCACTGCTCATCAATCTTGGACTAAATCAACCTCCTCTCACTCAGTCTCGAAAATAATCGATAATGTCTATCGGATACACGACCTTGGAGCACTTTTTCTCCAGAAACAGCTGGCCCCAAATTCGATATTTGTTGAGGCCTCACAATCATGATTTTGACACCAACAGTCCCTTATCCCACATAACAAAGACAGTCAAAGAATCTACTCTATGGGCAGGTGGCTTTACTAATCAGCGGCTTTTACTATGAGGGTAGCTAACTACCAAGGAGCTATGGGGGCATATCAATGCTTCCTTTGGGATAACATAGCCATTTTTCTTGACTCGTTACCAGAAGACAAAAAAGTATTAGCACAAACCTTTCAACAGGAGGGTCTCTCTGTCGGCAAACAGCAAATGTTCTCTGCCAAACACACGGTAGACATCTCGGCTAAGTCCATGGTTACCTCTGTCACGCTCAGACGTTTCTCCTGGCTAAGAACAGCTGGCCTCATGGAAAATGCCCGAGCACGTATTGAAGACCTCCCATTTGATAGCACTGGTCTCTTTAATGCTGAAACTGATGACATCTTAGAAAACGTTCAGAAGAAACATTCTGCTGCCAAAAGAGGGGGTGTCTATCCCACTTATCAACAGCGCACCCAACGCAATCAATGGAGGTGCCCTTACAATTCCTACCAGAGGTTCCAACATGAACCCCAACATCAGAACTTCTCCACACCATACTTTAAACAAGAACAATACAAAAACCTCACAAGCAACCTATCCAAAGGTACAATGACTGCAAACCCAAACATAATGTTTGATGTTTTCCTGACCAAGATCGCAAATCAACCTCCTTTCCTCTGGAAACACTTACCTGCCTGGCAATCCATCACTACCGACACCTGGGTTCTTTCCATTGTCCAAAATGGGTACTGCATACATTTCCATCAATTCCCTCTGTTGCATCACATCATCATTCACCATCCCAAACTCTACAAGAAGAGATAAAAAATTTACTAATCAAGGACGCAATAGAACCTATACACCAAAACATTTTCTCTCTCGTTATTTCACCGTTCCCAAAAAGGATGGAGGTTTACGACCTATTCTAGACCTCAGAAAACTCAGTATGTCATCACCACAAAATTCCGTATGGTAACCCTCAAATCTGTTCTACCTCTTCTCAGAAAAAACAACTGGTTCACAATCAGATCTACGAGATGAATACTTTCACATTTCCATCTACCCCTCCCACAGACAGTTTCTTCAATTCCAACTCAGGCTCCAAGCCTACCAATTCAAAATACTTCCTTTTGGACTTGCAACAGCTCCCAGAGTCTTCACCAAGTGCATGGCCCCAGTGGCTGCCTTTCTCAGACTTCAAAAGATCCTCATCTTTCCTATGCATAGACGACTGGCTTCTTGTAGCTCATTCCCATGACACAGCTCGCCGAGACACCCTTTTCACCTTATCCCTTCTTCACGATCTTGGTCTCACAGTCAACAAGCAAAAATCCACAATGAGCCCTACAAGGATTATTCCAAAGACTCCACCCGAGCTCACACATTCCTCCTGCTCGACAAATAACAAAACTTCATCTCCCTCCTACAAGTTTTCACCCCCCATGGCTTGGTTGCTGCCATCCTCATCCAATGTCTACTAGGTACCATGGCCTCCATGGCCTCAATCGTACAATACGTGCGCCTGAAGATGAGGTCTTGACAATCATGGTTTCTCACACTTTTTGACCCACTGACAAATCCTCCCAACACCCTTACTCCCGAACTCACCTCACAACTCCAATGGTGACGCTTCATCCCAAATCTCTCTATGGGATGCCCCTTCCAGCAACCACATCCTCAAATACACGTCACAACTGACGCCAGCCTTATTAGCTGGGGAGCACATTGCGGCTCTCTCAAAACACTTGCCAACTGGTCCCGCAGAGAACCTTCACTACACATCAACGAGTTAGAACTATTAGTGGTAATAAAGGCATGCAAAGCATTCAGAAACGTTCTAGCTGGCAAGGTGGTCCAGATTGCCACCGACAACACCACAGCCATGTACTATATTCTCAAACAAGGAGACACACACACCCCAAGCCTCCTCTATTTGGCAGTTGACCTATGGGAATTGTGCCTCCCACACCACTTATGCCTCACAGCTCTGCACATCTACGGCCAGGACAATGACCTAGCCAACTCTCTCAGCCGCACAAACTCACAAACAACCCCACGAGTGGGAATTAGATCAGTTTTCCTCCACCTGTGCAAAAGACGTGGAAAACCGACTCTAGACCTTTTTGCCTTCCACAAGAATGTGAAATGTAAGTGCTATTGTTCCCTTGCCGGGATCAGCAAACACTCCTGAGGAGACACATTTATTGGCCGTTGGCCCAAGACCCTCCCATGCCTCTTCCCACCATTCCCGCTCCTCCACAGGGTAATTGCCCGAATACAACAGGACAAACCCAACACCATCCTCATTGCTCCTTGGTGGCCAAGACAGCTCTGGTTCCCAGTGCTACACCACCTGTCCTCCGACATCTATCACCTCCCTACCTACCACACCTCCTCACTCAGAACAGCTCCTGGATCCTTCATCCCAACTTACCTGCTCTACATCTGGCAGTGTGGAGGATTCTCCCTCCTTGATGGATGTTCTCCATCAAGGAAAGAAATCCTCAACTAGAAAAGCTTATGTGTATAAATGGTAAAAAAATCCAATCTTTTACTACAGCTGTTACCCTTCCTGCCGTCAACCCCTCTCTCTCCACGGTTCTCCAATATTTGCTCCATCTCAAATCTTCTAGTCTTTCTCTCACATCTATTAGAGTGTATCTCTCGGCAGTCGTCTCGTACCAACCACCGAACTTTCCAGCAGCTTTCAGACATCCCATGCTCAAGTGCTTTCTTAAAGGATTGTCACACATTTACCCAGACGTTCACCTGCGCTCTCCACAATGGTCCTTGCCCTTAGTCTTGCAACAACTCAGTAAATCTCCATTTGAAGCTCTAACCTCAGCGGATCAACATCTACTTTCCTTCAAAACGGCTTTTCTCGTTGCAGTTACTTCAGCTCGCCGAGCAAGCAACCTTGCGGCCCTATGCCACAATTAGCCTTATATACAATTCTATCCTGATATAGTAAAGCTGCTCCTTGATGTCTTCTTCCTCCCTAAAGTGGTGTCTCAGTTTCATCTCTCTCAACCACTGCTCCTCCCATCTTTCTTTCTGTCACCGTCCACAACCCATGAATGACTTCATACTTTGGACATCAGGAGGGCCCTCTCCTTTTATTTGTCGCATACACAACCCTTTCGACGTTCCTCATGCCTTTTTGTCAGTCAACAACTTCCTAACAAAGGTCTACAAGTCACCTCCCAGACAATTTCTCACTGGGTTGCCTCTACTACGTATTCGGCTTGCATACCAGCTTGCTTGACAGTTGGTCCCTCAAGCTATTTGCCCTTATTCCACCAGGGTGTTGGTGGCCTCTACAGCATTCCTACGTGGTGTGCCTCTCCCCAACATTTGCTCCTCGGCTACATGGGCACAACCATCTACCTTCGTCCAACATTATAGACTAGATATTCGACAGAAGTCTGATGCGGCATTCAAACATGCTGTTTTGGCTTCCGCCTTGGCATGACACCCTGCCTCCGGGTAAAACAGCTTGCTAGTCACCCACAGTGTGATTCACAGAGGCCACAAAGAAGAACGGCAGGTTACTCACCTGTAATTGCAGTTCTTCGAGTGGACCTCTGTGATTCACACATCCCACCCAACCTCCCTTCTGTCACTCCATACAATATTTTTTTCCTTGTGGCAGTTGACACAACTGAAGGTAGAGTCCTGGTGCCAAGGTACTTATACCGAGGAGGAGGGGTCCATTCTAATGTGTTTTTTTGCTACCACAGAAGCTCTAGAATCTTCTGAAGAGGCTCCGCGCAGGTGCGGATCACCCACAGTGTGAATCATAGAGGTCTGAAGAACTACAATTACAGGTGAGTAACCTGCCGTTCTCTGCATCCAGTGACTAGAACTGTCAGTAATATTCCAAAAGAGACCACCTTAGAGATTTATATAAAGGCATTTAAAATCTCTGGCCTATAATCCATAGCCTGGATTTTATGCCCTCCTTCCTCTGGGCGCATTTTTTTAAATATAGGAGAGATGGGGAACCTGTGGTCTTCCAGATGTCTGTGAGGTTGCAGCTCCCATCATCTCTCACCGCAAGCTCAGATGAAGGTTGTCAGAGCGGATGTTACAGGACCATAGCCTCTCCACCTGTCACAAAGCTATCCTCACCACCCCACAAATCTCTTTCCTGATCAGAGACTGTCCATTTGGAAACAGTTCAGATTTCACCCCCTTCTTAACCACAAATAGATTGACCACCAAATACTGTACTTAATTGTCCAGAATGGACAAGAAAAGAGCAAGGAAGGATGAACGAGAGTTGAGGGCGTTTCCCCCCCCTTTTTTTTTAACCATAACTCTTAAGATTTCCATACCTGCCATTAGGAATGCTGGGAATTGCAGTTCCAGAAAATACAGTTAGGTTCCTAATCTGTGGAGTTGTTAGAGCACAAAGCAAAGTTGAATCGCCTCAAGCAGATGGCTAAAAAAAACCCCTACCCTCTCCTGTTTACGCAGCCGACTCATTGGGCTTTATGGAAGACAGGGCTGCCCCCTAGCGTCCCTCGCTGTGCGCGGCGAGCTCTCCGGCCTGACCCTTGGCTCCGCCCTGCCGCTCGCGGATTGGCCGCGGCTCTTCCCTCTCCGAAGCGCGCTGTCAGTCACGCGCCTGCTGGCCCTTCCTGGTGGTGATTGCAGGGGCCGTTTGCCAGGGCCAGCGAAGGCGGGGTGGGGGGGGGGGGAAAGAGCCATAACTACAGAAGTGAAAGCAAACGGAGGATCGAGATACTACATTAGGAGGGTGGGGGTGGAATGGCTGAGAGAAGGCGGGGGCAGTGAAAGTAAGGAGGAGTATGTGTTATGTGCAGTGCTGCATCTTCCTTTTGTGCATCTTCCTTTTCTCATCCCGTCCTTCCTCCTCCCTCCCCCCCCCCCCTCCCCCC